ATCGAGGCTCTCTGCGATTAAGATCGTGTCATCAGCGTATCTCAAGTTATTCAGCAGTTTGCCATTAATTGCTATGCCATGTTGACAATTATCTAGGGCTTCTGAAAATATTGCATCGGCATACAAGTTAAATAGCAAAGGTGATAAAATGCAACCTTGACGCACACCTCTCTGAATCTCGATATATGAAGAATGTTTGCTGTTTACCCTTATATTAGCACTTTGCTTCCAGTATAGGTTTTTAATGAAACAGCAATCTTTATAATCTAAGCCAATTCTCTGGAGTATTTCCATCATTTTACCATGTCGTACATTATCAAAAGCTTTCTCATAATCGACAAAACAGACGAAAAGATCCCTATTCATGTCCAAGCATCTCTGTATCAACACTTGGTAGCCAAAGAGAGCGTCTCTCGTCCCTAAACCGCTTCGAAAGCCAAATTGGGTGCAGGATAGTGTTGATTCACATTTAGAGTATATCCTATTATGTATCACTTTCAGAAAGACTTTCAAAACATGGCTCATAAGTGAAATAGTCCGATAGTCTATTGGGATTGCATTTTTGGGATTCTTTGTTTTCGGAATAGTGATAAATGTTGACTTAAGCCAGTCAGAAGGAATGGTTCCTGAGTCGTATATACCATTAAAAAGGGTTGTGATATAATCTAAGTTACATTCCTCAATTTCCTTTATAATCTCTGTTGGTATATTATCAGCTCCGACAGCTTTCCGAGTTTTTGCTTTTGTTATGGCATAGTAGATTTCACGCTTTGTAATAGATGGACCAACATCACTACACTTGAAGTTAATATTTTCTGGTCGTGAGTCACAGAAAAGTTCACTAATATAGTCTTCCCAAGTGTTAAGCATGTCATCAGTGCAGGTTGTATATTTGCCATCTTTTTTAAGAAGTGTCATTTCGCTGCGTCCTTGATGTTTAGGTGTTATGAGTTCTTTTATCTTCTTATGCATACCAAAGCTGTCATATTTCCTATCTAACTCCTCAATTTCTGAACATATCTCCCCATTCAAGATTCCTTTGCCTGTCTTATCTTTTTTCGTATGAAGCGCATCGTATTTTTTTCTTTATCTTTTTTGTTTTCACGTCTTTTTTCCATCAAGTCTAAGATTTCATTGGTAATCCATTTGGTCTTTTTTACTCGTGGAGCTGTCACCAATATTTCGTTGCTGGTCTTAATAATAGAAGATTTAAGAAGTTGCCACATTTGTTCTGTATTAACAGGACCGTGATTATCATTATGATTCAACTTACGCATTTCTTCATTAATTGTACCGTGTAGTTGTTTCCTAGACTCGACGTCCCTCAACTTGTCAAAATCAATTTTTCTGGATTGAGGATGACGGCAAACTTTCTTCAATTTTACTGAGACTATTGCCACGACTGGATTGTGATCAGAACCTATATCTGCACCAGGGTATGTTTTAGCCGATTTAATGCTATTTCTATGCCTTTTGTTTATCAACAAGTAATCAATCTGGTTTCGCACAATCCTGTCCGGCTTATGTGCTGGCGATTGCCAAGTATAGAGTCTACGTGGTGGTAATTTGAAGAAAGTATTCGCAACAACAAAATCGTGTTCCTGGCAGAATTGTACTAGTCTTTCACCCCTGTCGTTACGAGCACCGAGACCAAACTTTCCAATAATATCCGAGACAGCACCTTGACCGATCTTGGAGTTGAAATCACCTGTCACGATTGATAGCTCGTTAGGTTTTGTTAATTTCAGAGCCGCATCTAAGTCGTTGTAAAAAGTCTCGTTCAATTCCTCACTTTTGTCTGCTGTCGGTGCATATACTTGAACGATGTTGATGTTAAATGGTTTGGCTTCAAGTTGTAATAACATTACTCGGTCTGAAAGAGGAAGAAAGTTCTGAACTAGAGTTTCTATATTTTTCTTAATAAGGACGGCAACTCCATATCTATGATGTTGTATGTCGCTGCTACCAGAGTAGTATATTGTAGCATCACCAGATGTTAAAGTCCCATTTCCATACCATCTTAAGTCACTTATGCCGAGTATATCCAAATCCATTCTATTCATTTCCTGTAAAAGATTATCCAATTTTCCATCTTCGTATAAACTGCGGACGTTCCAAGTTGCTATCTTCATGGCTGACCCAGAGATTCTTCGCACCCTCTGACCACTTAAGGTCTGCCGGGGACTAAGGGCCATGGTTATATTTGTCTCAGCCATAATGATATCCTGGGAAAAATAATGTGGTGGTTTTCCGTTGCCTTCCACATCGCTGTTTGCTGGTATTGCCAACAATGTGACTGACGACTGTACAGGCTTTCTAAGCTCCCACTCGTTCAGTCTACCCCCTACGCAGCTGCCCGTAGTTGAAGGATAATGCTTATTTACTGGCGGCATTGACTCGCCATGTCGCAACGTTTTCACAGGATCTTTGTAGTATTTCCTGGAAGAGCCTTTCCTAAGGGCTCCCCACTACACCCTCTAACGCCGCCAGTGTGTGCTCGGGGACTGCATAAAGCAGCTAACCGCAATATCTTACGGTCGTTCCACTATCCGCTATCTGTGGACCCCGGTAGTAGCTCACACCTAAGCCCTACTCGTATGTCCAGAGAACCAAAAATTATAGGAAAAAAAAAATGTTTCATTTCGTTAATGTTCGATAAAATATTATTGTTTTTTTTGCCCATAGTTTTAGATGGTAAAAAGGACTTATTTATTAATAACATAAATAATTCCTCACTTCATGATTATACCAGTTAAATGACAAAAGTCTAAGAATTAAAAACAAATGTTTTTTTGACATACGAGGTTATCATTCTACAGTGACGATATGTGACGTCACATATATAATATTATATCCATTTATTCAAGGTGTCATCAGTGTCACTCAAAGGGAGATAAGTTTGAATAAAAACTGCAATAGATCGTTGATTGGAAAGTTACTGACGTTATAAATAAATGTGGAAATGTAAAATTTTATTGCAGATTTTTAATTATAATAAAAGTGAAATTAGTTTTGTACCATTCACTATGATTTATGCTGTTGCGCTTACTATTTTAATGTGTGAGTACTGAGTATTCTAGTTTTAACAAAATTCCTTAAAAGTTCTACCTTCTGTGTTTAAGGCAATTATTTTTCGTTAAAGTTGGGGCGAAATTAACGGAGCATAACGCAAACACACTTTTGCTTCTGTTTTCTGTTGGAGTTAGTTAACGTTACTTTAGTTTCATCCTTTAAATATAATAATGTATCGTCTAAAACTATTACGAATAAAGCGTGTGCGTACAAAGTACACATGTCATAAGTGAAACTTCTTTGGCAAACTAATTTTTAAGTCTTGTTCATATTTATATAGATCTAAAACTTTAGATTTCCGAGACTTATCGAAAGGAAAAAAGGATGATGATGTTAGATATTTAATTAATTTAATTGTCATTAAAATATTAAAAGTGTCGAAAATTTATACAAATTATATATTTTTTTTATGTATTCGGTAATTAAAACACGTGGCATTTTAATTTACAATTCGTCATTTGAGATTTCAATAAATTATTTTGCATAAAATATAAAATGCATAAAATATAATAAATTTTCTGAACAACAAGAATTATTAAAATTATAAATATGGCTTAAATATAAGAGAAATATGTGCTCTGATATCAGGCATAGACTAAAAATATTAGAACAAGAATTGACCTACTCTGTTAGACTCATTCTTACAATCCTTTTTTCATATTTAAATAGATAAAGAACTGGCTTATGAACAAACCTTACGCAGAGATGCTTCTGAGACTAGGTCTATGTAGTTACACACTTTATTCATTCACTCACTGACTCACACACTCACTCACACATTTGCACCCACACACTTACTCATTCTCCAACATACACCCACACACTCACTCATGCACTTAGGCGTGTGAACAGTTGAAAGTACAAAAACAGAGATAAATAAAATAAAAGATGTAATTACATTATATATAAATATCTTTAAGGAATTTATAATTAAGTTTGTTATGGAAGAGCTGGGCACCCTGACACAGGTATTTTTTACTTAAAAGGGTCCCCAAATCTTACACATTGTAATGCATATGTACTTAAAATGAATAAACACATTTTTATCCTATATATTTCATCATCATAAGTCACAGCAGGGGAGTCGTCCTATTAAATCATACAAGTATCCAACAAAATTTGACATTTAGAATAAACCTCTCAAAATTATGTATCTATTTCGCGTATCTACATTCATCTTACCAAATTGTTGTTAAATTAACGTCATTTATATGAAGGCTCACATCTTAATTGTGAGAGCAGAACCCGAAAATTACTAGAGATAATGACATTACTGTCTCTCGTATTATTCAAATTTAATTACAGAATTCGATTATGTTAATTAGAAATTTTCTCGTATCGCACGTTGATTTTGGAATTTGTGGTGTAAAATTTCTTTAACGACTTACGTAACTAAATTAAAAAAAAAACAGTGGTTTCCTCACAATGTTTTCCTTCACCGTTTGAGCGAATGTTAAATGCGCGCATAGAAAGAAAGCCCATTGGTGCACAGCTGTGGATCGAACCTACGACCTCAGGGAATCAGTCGCAAGCTGAAGCCACTAGGCCAGCACTGTACGTAAATAAATTTAGTGATCTATATTTTAATTAGTACAAAAAATAAGGTTGCAATTGTCACATGTAAACTTCTCAACTATTTTATCTGAAGTTTTAATCGTAGTAACCACATTATGCCCATAGGCATACAATTTTACAACGAACAATATTATCGCAAATAAAAACAATGCGAAATATAATTTGAGTTGATTCTAAATTCAAGGATCATATATTTAATCAAAATTTTATTAATTATGTAAATCTGAGATATACTATATGTCTAGGCACATAAATATATCCTGAGTCTGCGCATGTTCTTTTAGAAATATACATACAAAGCGACGTCAGTGCGTCTAATGTCATTTTAAATATTTGTAATTGCAGTTTCGTCCATGATAGATGGAAAGAAATGCGATATAGTATGCCCTGATGATGGAGACATGATATGCACATTCGATATTCATAATAAGATATACAAGATGTTTCCAAATGATTGCGCGATGGCTGGATATGCGCAGTGTCATCAAGTCGGTAAGTTAAAAGTACGTTTATAGAAATTCATTTTCTTTAAAAATACATGTCACTTACGTGAGAAGAAAATTATAATATTAAAAACACGCCACCGTCGTGTGCTGGTATTGAATTAGAGTCCTTCTACCAAAAATCTTGCATATTTTCGATCCACTGCTATTATTTCCCGTATCCCTGAGATAAGCCAAGCCAAGCCGTTATAAAACCTCGCTCCGAAATAGGTAGAAAACTTTTTTCTTTAATCTGAGATACCTACTGATAATCTGAATTTATACTTTTAATTGAAAATCATATATCTTAAACAGCTGAATGGCAAAATATATTAAAGAAATTTCAAAACAATTTGTAAAATAAATACCTAAACAATAGAAAATGAAAACCACATAGGTATTTCGTTTAACCCAACCTTAATTACCGAAAAAATATTTTTTTCACCGGGTCGCGAACACGCGAATATATAAGATAACTAATGAGCTATGCGAGTGGAAGTATTCGGTCACCGTTCAAGAAAAAGAAATAACATAATTAAAACTCTCTTTTAGTAATAATATTTAAAAAAATAAGCAAATTGTTTTAAATTATTCCGAACAAACGAACACGATGTGATTTTTATTACTTTCCTATCTGGAATATTGTCAGTCTTGACAAAGAGAATGTAATCCAATAAGCTGATTTTCTTCGTCTTGTTACTTAAAAAGCGGAACCACAGAAATATTTTTTGAAGTTACCGATTTGGTTCAAAAAACGATTTCAAATGCTCTGCAGATACATAATCTTATAATGGGTCAATACATATTATGTAACTGTATAAAATTCGTTTAAAAGAAAAACAAAGTTGCTGGTTGGTTTTGTAAAACTCTAATATTTTCTAGGAGGTGACAAATATTTTTCTATTTTCACTCGTAAATATTGAACATTTTTGAGTATATTTGAAAAGGATGGCTACATCTAAATCTAGTGGCGCTATAATCTTTTAGGTCTGGGCCTAAACTCCGTTTTGTTATCAATTATTGTTAGGTGAGCCTTCAGTGCTTGACACACGCCGTAGACTTTACGGGTGTAAGGTATACCAGCCTCATAATGTTTTCCTTTAACGTACGAGCGTTAAATGAATATACAGAAATTCCACAGGTGCACAGCCGGGGATGCAACTTACGACCGTAGGGATAAGAGTCGCAGGGTGAAGCTACCAGGCCCTTAAGGATAAATTCCCCAATTAATAGTTTAAAATCTTTTAAACTTGCTTTTAAACTTGGCTTTAAAATGCGCTAAAACAATAAAAACATTATAAGTATTGATTCAGTTCAAATTTCAAAACAGGAATTTCGGAATGTGTTTTATTGTATCCCTTGGTGATGATTTCTACTATCAAACTACGACAATTATTTTTTATTCTAGATAATGTAGTATTCTAATTGTAAAAGAATTTAGAATCGATCTTCAAATTTGAAAACAGTAATTTCTGAATGTGTTTAATTGTAAGCCCTTGGCTTCGGTGATGATTTCTATTATTAAGCTACGAAAATTATTTTCCAAATATTTTAGACATAAATATAGCTTATGTTATTCTTAATAATGTAGTATTCTTATGGTGAAAGAATTTGGAATCGAACCAGTAGTTATTGCAGTCACACGCACATAGTTCTCACTACATCAAGATATAAATTTGTTATGAAATATAAATTTAAGGAAATAAATAATCATTTTTCGTATGATGATGATTTAAAAGTTGGGAACATATAAACATACAAATAATGTTCCTTAATTTAGATTAAAATTTACTTTTCCTTTTCCAGATTTCGTAAGGACACCGATGAAATTTTGTATAAAGGAACACTTTGTGAGCGCTAGGCGAGTGTATGGCGAATCATGTCCAGTGTTCTGTCCAAGTCACTACAGTCCAGTATGCGGAGCTTCGAAGTACAGAGGCTATAATTACAGAACGTTCAACAACGGGTGCTATTTAGACATGATCAATTGTAGGGGAGATGATGACTATGAAGGTAGTTAATTCTTCAGTACGATTTGAAAAGTACGATAATTCTGCATTTTACTAAAGTTTATTTATTTTACAAAATAAGCTACCATTACAGATTTTTCCAATGCAGTAACTTCATACATTTACATCACATACAAAACGATACATTAAAAAAAACGACGGGTTGCACTCTTGAATATTAACATTTTTGATATTTTGGAATGGTTAGGGAATAATTTTGCACGAATTGCTTTAATTATCAGTATAAAAGTACTATCATTTATGTGGAAGAATACAATATTTATTTATTGCGCTATCGTACACAAACATGACAATTTATATTACATTAAATACGTCGCGCCAGCTGTCTACTCTCTATCCGTCTTACGAATTTTCGATCAGGTCACGTGTCCTGACGCGAGTTTAAATTTTTTTACCCATTCCAAAAAAGTGTACAACGCCGCTAAAGAAGTTTTTACTTCAAAAATCAGTGGCGCTACAACCTCTAGATCTGGGCCTCAGATTTCTAAATCAGTTTTATGATCAGTTTTCAATCTAATAGGCAAGTAGGTGATCAGCCTTCAGTGCCTGACGCACGCCGTCGACTTTTTGGGTCTAAGACATGTCGGTTTCCTCACGAAGATTTTCCTTCACCGTTGGAGCGAATGTTAAATGCACTCATAGAAAGAAATTCCATTGGTGCACAGCCGGGGATCGAACCTACGACCTCAGGGATAAGAGTCGCACGCTGAAGCCACTAGGCTAACACTGCTCTCTAAACAAAACGATACATACACATCGAACAAAAAAACAACACAAAATTGAACATTTATTAAAATATTTACAAAAAGACTATTTCTTATATCATATAGGATATGATATGTAGGCTGTAGCAAACCTTTTGTCAGTTCATTCAACATACAATTCGAATCGTCTGTTATGCTGTTCATTAATTATTTACATACATTGTGTCATGTGTGCCGTTTTCAAGAGGTAAGTTTTCGCTGAGGATACGAATAGTATCGGCGGTGTCTGGCACCCTTAGGCACTGGAACACTACCGGATTGTTTTCCTCTCCAAGGAACAACTTTATCAGATACATGGTATACGCAAATTCTGGGCGCACTCTGAGTTTGTTGAAGTGTATAATTTTAATGTAATACTCGAATTAAGTTTGGCGTTTGTTGTATGTTCAGATATATGTTAAATGAAACACTTTTTTTGAAGCTGGGTAACAATTGGCTTCATTTGTTTAACTTATAACTAAGATAAGATTTGGGGTAGTGGGGTTGCGAGGCTGGATTAACAAAAATCTAACTTGAATTATTGAAGAGTTCGTAAATCTAATTGACACTTATGTTATTGGACATTACCGGAAACTAAAATGTTATTAACTAAAATATATAGTATATGACGTAACTTAACTAGTGTTAGGTTACATAACTCTCGCAAAATCAAAAGATCGCTGTATCACTACAAAGTCCCCAATGTCTATCATCGCGATAAACATGCTGCTATAAACATGTTAATACACGGAACAAACGCAGGCTGCAATTTCCCCGTACTAGACTATCTAAAGTTAGTAATTCTTTTTTGGGAAAAGGGATACTCTTCTTTAGTAAAATCCCAGAGGCTCTTTTATCTCTGCCTTTTAATAAATTTAAGAAATGTATTAAAGAAAAGCTGTGTAAAAAGGCTTACTATAAAGTCAACGATTATCTAGTTGATAAAAGGGCCTGGGACTAGTGCTAGACAGGCTACTTCTAATTAGTTTGCGATATTTGTTTTAAAATAAGTGTTGTTTGATGATTTGCTATTTTAAAAGAGTACCGAGAGTTTTTTACGCCGGCTTTTTCTCTCGGCCTACACCCTCTGTCTTCTTTGCCGATGAGTAGGGATGCTTACAAATTCAAATTTAATGACGTGGAATAAGTGATACATCTATCTTATGTTACATAATAAACATATTTTATTTTTTAAACTTAAACGTTCAGAAATCGTGAGAGTGATTCATGATGAAGATTTAGGTACATAATTTGTCAATGTCTACGGTTCACGGGTAGCGCAAAACCGAGGCGGCCGGTAGTTTGTAGTTAATTTTGTATAAATGACCCTCAGATTTAGAATCGGGACATAGACATAGTATGATTTCCGTAGGTCCAAAACCTTGACATATGGAAGTAGCACTTAGCGCTCAGTCTCAACTCTGAATAATTCTAAGTATATCTTATTTATGTAATAATTATTTATGTTCGACACACATAGATGCAGTATTAAATTTCGTCCCTGTGGCAGTGAACCTAATATAAGTATCGCTACTGTATATGTCACCGTAAAATTGTAAACACCGTTAGATTGTAATCTATCTCGCGAGATTGTGAACTGTCGAAAGATTGTGAACTCAAGGTACTGCTTACAATTTAAAGTATTATTATTCGGTAGATTGTAATCTATCGAAGGGAAACCGTCAAATTACAATCTTAAAATTGTCAAATTGTCAACTAATACAAAAATATTTCAGGTTATGTGGAAGTGCCGTTGAGCTTCTGTCAGCGACATCTTATGAAAAATATATTTAAAGAAAAAATAACTGTTTCAAACATCTACGATTACAGAGATTATGATTAAATGTTGATGTTAAATTGTTCATTTTATTAAACACTAGATGACATTATTATTATTTATGATCCCCATCGCTTAAACCTTCCCAGAATTTTCACGAATATTTATAGACCATAATTTGCCAAATCGGTTCAGCCATTATCGAGTTTTAGCGAGACAAAGGAAAAGCAATTAATGTTTATAAATATAGATTATTCAATTTTTAAAGAGTAATGAATTGAAAAGAAATTGAAGTGTACTTTGATATATACGTACAATATACAACAGTAGAAGATTGACAATTGTTTTTTCATAATCTAAAGAATTCTTACCCTGTGATTCAAATTTACTGTAGAGTCCGCGCCACCACTGATTGCCGATAGACGCGGCGCTAGCGAGTAGCGCGGCGTAGTAATATGTTGCTAGTGCTAGGTGCAAGGCTATTTTACCCCAACATAACATAAATTAATATGAAATTCGCGAAATACTCTCCAAGATTTGCTTCTAGTCTACCTTAAAACGAATAAAATAATATTTCACTGTAACGACAAATTTAGTTTTAGGGTTCCCGTCGGCAATGAGTGGTGGCGCGGACTATAAAGTCTGCCTTACGATTCTGTAACTTACTTTTCGAACTCACACAGCGGTTTTCGCATCGGCGGTCGCTCTCAAATCAGTCGTGAAGCAGTCATTTTATGATTTGGCATTCTGAAAAGGTGGGAGCTTGTAGTTTATCGTTTATCAGAATGCCAAATCATATAGAATCGCAGGGCTGGTATTGTCATATGTCACCAATTGAGTCGTAAAGGTTAAATTAATTTATAATTTAATTCGCAATCGATGTGTCCATTGAAATCATATCACAACTTTCCACCTGACTAGCGGCCTACATCGCCATAATTAATTGTACAAAACCCGCATTACCTCCATATGATAAACATTTGTAAATGCAAATTGAAATATGTCAAACAAAACTCTGATGTCATCTTAAAATGAAATATAGGTCGTGGGTTAATATTAATACACTTAACAAATTTTTTTCATTGAAACATGGGATGCAATTAAAAAAAATGATTTATTTATCTACATATTGTTATTTTCAATTGCCTTAAGCGGGCCATAGAGGGACCGCATGTTGCAGTCAAGACCGACTGCAATATGCGGTTTGCTCAGGAACTGCCCTGCGATTCTGTAACTCACTTGAAGTAGAAAGTAAGCGTGAATGCTTTAAAGCCTGGGCATAAGCGGTGACATCCTGTGATGTGACTATCGGCGAACGTAAAAAAGCATACAATTCAGCCTCCAGGTCCTTCAAGCAAGAAATCGCTAAAGCAAAGTCAGAGCACATTGCCAGATTTGGTGAGAAATTGGCCCACCTCCCGGGAACTCGAGCCTTCTGGTCTCTTGCCAAAGCTGTCCAAGGGAATTTCTGTCTGCCCTCAATTCCACCACTGCATAGGGAGGATGACTCACTGGCCCATACCGCGAAAGAGAAGGCCGATCTTCTAGGCTGTCTCTTTGCGTCGAACTCCACTTTGGATGATCAAGGGAAGGAACCACCGACATTATTGCGGTGTGATACTACGATGCCCGAAGTTATATTCCGGCAACGTGCTATCCGTAAAGCTTTGTCTTCCTTGGACATCCATAAGTCGAGCGGGCCCGATGGCATCCCTCCAATTGTGCTGCGTACTTGTGCTCCTGAGTTGGCTCCGGTCCTAACGCGCCTTTTCCGGTACCATTACACGCTCGGCACTGTTCCGAAGTGCTGGAAGATCGCTTCGATACATCCGATCCCTAAAAAAGGCGATCGCTCTGATCCGTCCAACTATCGCCCAATAGCTATAACCTCCTTGTTCTCCAAATTAATGGAAACCATTATTAACAGCCAGCTCCTGAGGTATCTAGAGGGCCACCAGCTGATTAGCGATTCTCAGTACGGCTTTCGTCGTGGTCGCTCAGCTGGTGACCTCCTTGTATACCTTACACATAAGTGGGCAGAGGCAATTGAGTCCAAGGGGAGGCGCTGGCGGTAAGTTTGGACATAGCGAAAGCCTTCGATCGGGTGTGGCACAGAGCACTGCTCTCGAAGCTTCCAGCCTACGGGCTCCCTGAGAAATTATGCAACTGGATTTCCAGCTTTCTCGCTGATCGGAGCATCAAAGTCGTCATCGACGGAGCATGCTCCGACCTGAAACCTGTGAATGCTGGTGTCCCACAAGGCTGTGTCCTATCCCCGTTTATTCTGGATATCAATGATATGTTGCAGCTTAGCAACATTCATTGCTATGCGGACGACAGCACTGGGGATACTTTTTACACTGGCCGGGCAGGTATTTCTCGGGCTGTTGTCGATGAGTACCGGAACAAACTTGTGTCTGAAGTCGAAACTCTTCTACGTGGAGTCTCGGACTGGGGTAGACTAAATCTAGTCCAATTTAACCCCAAGAAGACACAAGTATGCGCGTTTTCCGCTAAAAAAACTCCCTTTGTCGCTACTCCCCTTTTTGAAGACACTCTCCTTAAAGCCTCAGCTAGCATCGGAATACTGGGCGTTGACATATCGAATAACGTTCAGTTTCGCGGTCATCTGGAAGGAAAGGCTAAATTAGCCTCCAAAAAGCTTGGTGTGCTCAGCAAGGCGAGACGGTACTTCACTCCGGGACACCGCTTGCAACTATATAAAGCGCAAATTCGGCCCCATATGGAGTACTGCTCTCACCTCTGGGCGGGAGCTCCCCAGTACCAGCTCCTTCCACTTGACCGTATTCAACGAAGAGCGGTTCGAATCGTCGACGACCAGTCACTTTCCGTGCGGCTTGATCCCTTGGCGCTGCGTAGAGATGTGGGATCTCTCTGCATCTTCTACCGCATTTACCATGGAGAGTGTTCAGAGGAGTTGTTCGGTCTAATACCTGCAGCTGAGTTTCATCATCGGACGTCAAGGCAAAATACAAAATACCATCCGTATCACCTTGACGTCCGTCGTTCCACAACAGAGCGTTTTCTAAGGCAGTTATTGCCGCGCACCACCACTATGTGGAACCAGCTGCCCACAGAAGTATTTCCGAACCAATTCGACTTAGGGTCCTTCAAGAAAAGAGCGTACCAATTCTTGAAAGGCCGGCAACGCACTTGCGAGCCTTCTGGCATTGTGAGTGTCCATGGACGGCGGTATCACTTAACATCAGGTGAGCCTCCTGCCCGTTTGCCTCCTATCACATAAAAAAAAAAAAAAACTTTTGGAACTCGCACAGCGGTTTTCGCATCGGCGGTCGCGCTCAAATCAGTCGTGAAGCAGTCATTTTACGATTTGGCATTCTGATAAGGAGGGAGCATGTAGTTTATTGTTTATCAGAATCCCAATTTGTAAAATGACTGCTTCACGACTGATTTGAGAGCGACCGCCGATGCGAAAACCGCTGTGCGAGTTCGAAAAGTGAGTTACAGAATCGCAAGGCTGCTCGAGCGGTCCGTGTATTGCGAATATGAATTTAGTATGGAAACTGCAGATCGCCGTGCGGCGACCGCTTAGAGCAGTCGGTATCGGCTGCAACATGCGGTCCGTATATGGACCGCTTTACATGCGCCAATAAGCAACAGCTTAGAGGCCGCATAACATCATTGTTTTTATCATTAAAAAGGCACTAACAATAACGGCCTTCTTTTTAGAATACCCTCACTTTTGGATGCAATTTTAAAATGATTATGAACAAATTGTCTTTTTTTTGTTTAACAGTGTGGCCGTGATTTTAATGTCTGTGGTTCTGTAATACCTGCCCTGCGATTCTGTAACTCACTTTTCGAACTCACATAGCGGTTTTCGCATCGGCGGTCGCTCTCATATCAGTCGTGAAGCAGTCATTTTATGATTTGGCATTCTGATAAACAATAAACTACAAGCTCCCACCTTTTCAGAATGCCAATTCATAAAGTGAAGCAAACATAGTTCATAAATTTTTAATTTTGTCTCAGTACTTTGAAACTGTAGCTGAAGAAATAATTATTAGTTTGTATATTATTCAAGCTTGTATCTTGCGAGAAACATTATTTCTGTAACTGTCAATGCTTTCGAATAAACAATTTTACACGACGATTCAATACAACCAATAAACTGAATAATATATTCTAGAGAGAAACTAGAATATTTGCACTTTGAAGATTGCATGAAACATTCTACATACATAATTATATCAGTTATACAACACTGCACTAGCAAAGGAAGTGATAAATGAAACTGTTAAGGCCATGGTTTATTGCAAATGAATTAGTAGTGAGATAGTCTTTGATCTTTAGAGCGTACTACTTGACACATCGGCAATTGCTGGCAAGGGTCCTCAATAAATTATTAGGAACTACGTCATTCTATTTCGAATCTAATTGAAAACTGTTGATGTTTCGGTAAATAGTGTAATGTAATCATAGGATCTTCATATATACGTTATCGCTCCGTGTCTATATGCTCTTGAAGTGCCAAAAATGCCTTCTATGCAGCTAAAACGAAACTGCAAAAACCTATTAATATATTGTGTGGAGACAAATGACCAACGAACCCAAAATTTAAGCTAAAAATTATTATCCATGTAACGTCCTATTTAGCCAATGCGTACTCGTGATAAACCCTACATGTTTATTTTTGTTTAAATGCATGAGTACATTTGATAAATAAAAAAAAGTGCGTGCGTACAAAGTACACATGTCAAAAGTGAAACTTCTTTGGCAAACTAATTTTTAAGTCTTGTTCATACTTATAAAAATCTAAAACTTTAGATTTCCGAGACTTAGGGGGAGGAAAAAAAGAATATAAAATACTAATATTTCTTAAATTCTCTTAACGAAATTTTAATTTTAAAAATATAATTTCTATAAGGTAATTCGCCCTTCTCACTCTCTCTCAATCGCTCTCTCCCTTTTCTTCGACAAAAACGCTGCACATCTTCGTGACGATATTATTATTATTGCGTTTCATCCGTAAATATATTAGTTTCACTTCAAAAATGCGTGAACCCGTGATTGTAATTTGAAAT